ATAAAATTATTTTAAGAGAAAGATATTTTATATATATAAATGCTAGCATGACCTTGATTATTTCAAATATTCTCTATTGGTTAAAATAATCACTTTAATATAATTTCCATTTAATCAGATAAAGCACATAAATAATCTTATCTTCAGCTTATGTAACTTCTTTAATCCACTCAAAATACTCTGTTTTCTTAGAAATATAATAACTTCTAAATATGTCTATCATTACTATGAAAAAGATTTTAATTCATTGACCAATTACAAAAAAAAAGTAAAATAAAATAAATAAAAAAACTTCAACTAGCATAATGTACAATTTCAACTGACTTATTTAAAACTTTAAGAACTATTTGGTAAGATCATATATAGAAAATTATTAATAATAAATGAACAGAAGATTTGTGCTTATTTCACGTTGTGTATTATCCAAATAACTTCTTGAAAGTGATATTAATTGCTGATAAACTGGTATTTGCAGTAAGTTTACCTCAATCTTACTATTTCAATTACGCATCCAATTGCATCTCTAAGCAAGTTTGGTTACCTAGCAGCAGCTTTGCAGCGTTAGCTTTTCAAAGATGACAAATATGAAAATATTAATATTTGCTAAACAATATTTGAATTAGTCAGCCTATATAATTTTAATCAAAATTAGCAGTTATTGAAAAATGACCGAGAGAGGTGTATATTCTCTAAGTGGACCACTCAGTGATGTTGAATTCAGGTTTGTACTATTCTCATTTACAAAAATTTTATTACATACGTCCATTCAAATAATGATTGTTTCTTTTTCATATTGCTAACTTCAAATAATCGATAATACATAATCAAATTTTAGATTAAATATTGAATTTTGCGAACCAACAGCACTACAATCTTTTGATGCTTTCACGGAAAATGCAGAGCAAGCAAGTTTTGCAGCCCCTAGTATTTTGATTGAAAAGTGTACCTTTAAATGGCAGCAAAAGCTTCCTTTAAATAGAACCAGAGTAAGGCATTTATTAGGATTCACAAAGCCACAGTTCTCCGATTACTTTCAGAATTTCCTTTCACAAACTTTTAGGCAGTTATTTATCAAAATTGAAAAGCGCAATGCTTTAAGAAGAGATAAAGAATTGAAATATTTTATTTACTAAAAAACCAGCTGGGACTGAAAAATTATATTTTACGTGTATTTATAATTTTTTTTGTAATAATAAATATTTGATATTTTGTAGGTATCACAAGAAATTACACAAGACTGTTTTCAACAACATGACTCTGAACAAAATTTGACCAGCAGTAAAAGAAATGGTATTGATGATTTAAAAATGCTAAAGGATTCAAAATAATTAAACTCCCGTATTTGAATAAGCTACATAAATCTTTCATTTACAGAATTCCGTGTGTTCACTCTCGTTAATGGCGAAAAACCAGCTGGTATTAAAGAAGTTAGCATTAAAATTAGATTATAGTGAGATTTGCTTTTCTAATGAACAAATTTTATGGAAATATGACAGCAGATGTGAAGATGAAATTAGAAAGTACGCGATTTTATAAAGTTTTAGATTAACGAAGAATGGAAGAATTCTTCAGAGAATAAGTTGACAGATAATTTCGCAGTACCTATGAACAGGCGTATTGAACCAATAATGTAATATGTTAAATCTTTGTTTTGGATGCTTGAATTTTGATTTCATTCACTTCGTTTAAGTGGAAAAAATTTGAATTTCAGAACGTCACACTGGAATCCTATCATTGATTTACCATCCAAAGAGCATCAAAAGAAAATAAGAAGTGTACAATACGTGAAAGAAACGATGTACATTATGGCCTGCTTAGGTCCAATACAAGATAATAATACGTGAGTTCCCGCTTCAATTAATTGTTAGCAGTTGTTCACACTGAATTTTATCCTGCAAAAATTTGCCACAGTCATTTTTTAAATGTGATTTTCCACTACACAAACTTGACATTAATTTTAGACAAGAATACGAAGACACTAACCAATATGTTATATGTAAGATTACAACAATAAATGAAACGAATGTAATCATTGAACCAGATTTATTTTCTACAAATAGTAAAATCGAAACTCCTTACGGCACGTACAAAGCACATTTGTTCATCATCAAAAACGATAATTTGGATACAATTAGCGATGATGACCTAAATCAGGTTTTTATCATCATTTGCTTATCATTTATACAAATACAGTTGAAGGACGTTGCAAATCGTTATGGTGCTAAACAAACACTCTAAAAAAATATTATTTAGACCAGTTATGAAGGAAACCGCATAATAATGACTGATATTCCAGCCGAAAAAACCACTGAATTCATTTATCTTATCGATATTGGTAAGTACAAATATTTAACAACTTTTTAAAATATGGATAAAACTGCAACTTTTACAATTGGAGAATGAATATGAAAATTGTGATGGATAGAAGAAATGTTACAGAACGCGCAATAAATTTTGCTCATGATGGATTAAGCGTTGAGTACAAAGTTGATACACCTTTGCAGTGTACAGTAATTGACTCATCCCTTTTACAAAGAAGATCATTTATTAGTGATTCATGCCCAAGAGGAAAGGTAGGAATAAACTCTGTTATCAAGCCATATGCCATAATTTTTTCATATCTTCAAAATTATGACAACTGTTGCAATACTCATACTATTTTATCTCGTAGGATGATGAAGCCGTATTTTCTCAACAAATCTGCATCACATTAGTTATCAAAGAAATGGAGCAATTTTTAGCAGATTTTCATTGGCCTCGAATAATTTTCCGAGTTTCTGCAGAAGATTACTGGGGACATCTTTCCATAAATGGTTTCGGACATTTAACATTGCCATCTATCGCTGGAAGGTATTTACTATTGTTCAATTCATGCTACAAGAAAAAAATGTAGATTCCAAATCCTTTACGAAGGTTGTTAAAAGCAAGTTATGCTTAAAACTCTCATTTTCTTATATCCTATCAACTTTCATATTTCAGGTATGCGTTTGACATTCAATGTTGGAAGTATGAAGGTGAAGAAAACAGGATAAGCACGTTATTTAAACATTATATCTCTGATGTAGTCAATTTCAATCAAGGAGATTTGGCTTTACCAATTGAAACCGCTTCGTCTACATTAGTACAGAATTCAAAATTTAATGAACAGAAAAGTAGAATCCACTGATCCAAATTATAACGTGAATTAAAATAAATTGAAAATCTGAATACATCGCACGTTGTTATCTCAACTAGGAATTAAAAAAAAGACAACAAATTACATATAAGATAAATTTCAGTAACTTAACTTTTAGGGTCCGATAGCATCTAGCATCGGACTCAAGACTACATGTTCAGGAACGCTTAAAATTAATGTGCAATGTCTGATACAAAGTCAGAAATTCATTTGCCATGAACATGCGCATAAAATGAAATGCACGACTTTGAAACAAAGTGCTGGGTATGTTGTTTTATATACAAAGCACTACATATCTTCTTTATAAAATTCTTCAAAGCATGGAATAAAATAAGGGATTTCAGGATATATTCACGGATACACAGAAAAATTCTCAAAGTGCTGTCACAGTTTGAAGAAGCGAGAAAAAATCTTTCGAAAATTCGAGATCAGCCCATACATACTGTTTCCTAACCATACTTATAATGTGTACAATTAATCAGTACTTTTTGATAATAAAAAGTTGGTAGTATATATTATTTAGATTTTTGTTTAGAAGAGAATGAATAATTTTTTTGGAATCCATAAAGATTAAAAACATCAAAAAACATAGAATGAATGAAATATTGAATAACTACAAAAAATAGTACTTCTAAATAAAAAAGTCTACAGTAGAAATAAAGAAAGTTAAAAGATTAAAACTTTTTTTTTCAATTAAAAAAGAATTTAACTTCAAAATTTTCTACATTTGAATAAAGTAATGCTTATGTTAAACTTGAATAATTTGGTTAGTTGAAATAATTGCAAACTATGAAATAACTTTATCTTTTGATAAATCTGATAAGTCCACATGCTAATAAAAAAGCCCCTTAATGCATATCACTGAAGAAATATTCTAGAAAAGAAGACCTTTATAATTAAGAGATCCTTCTTTATAAGGATTTAAAACACAATTAAAAAATTTTTTAATTCATTAAATTATGTGTGAACGTTCAGCTCTCACCAGAAGAAAATAAAATGAACAAAAAAAAAGGATGTAAGGAAATTGGAAAAATACGGGTAGATTATTTCATGCGTAAATTAAAGTAAAAGAGTAATGAAAATCTTGACTCATTCAAATTAAAGTGTGAGCACCCGGAGCATTCGTTACTGTTACCAACTTTGACTTTCGTCTGACGTACTCCACACTGATATAATATTTGATATTCAACCAAGAGTATGAATAGATCACATGAAATCAATCTTTTTTGACTTTATATCGCGTCCATTTGATAAGGTTTTCAGGAGATCGAAACAAGAAAATTAATTTACCAAAGAGGTCCTGAAAAAAACAAGTTATTTAATTGTGAAAGAATCCCTTTTTGCATGGGAGGTGTAATTATGGAAATATGGAAACATAAAGGTTAAGAAACAACAATTAGAACCTGCTCCAAGACAAAATCTTTTGCCTCTCGAACCAAATAAATATCAAGACAAATTTTCAAAAGATGATCTGGATTTGGAATTTCTGAAATCATGACTTCCATCGGAGAACTAGTCACAATACCGCGTATTATACGTCCAGCTAACATAACAACGGCAATGTACATAGCGATAATACTGAAGAAAATACAATCATAATATTGTTAGTCCCATGAAAAGAAATATGAAACAAGTAACGAGAATGCTGAAGTGAGCCTTCGAATTTCTACAGTCTCGACGGCAGAAAATTCTAATTACACTTTACAAATAAGCTGTGCTAAAGTGATTATCACCTCTTAGTTTTTCAATGTGATCGATAAGCTATACTAAAATAAACTCTAAAATCCACTCGCAGTTTTGTGAAAACAATTCATGGACTGACATTATCACTTTGAATATGACAACTTATTTAAAATAATGTGACTTAAAATAAAAGTTCGACACACCCTCCTTGCACATATTTGCTGAGGAATGACGGGAATACACGATCTACAAAGACAACCATCTGCAAATACTTTTTCTCCGAACTCTTTTCATATTTAACATCTTCAAGAGGAAGAGTAAGCGAAGCGGTTTCATTGCTCTCAATTAAAGCTGAATTCCATACTTTATTTTCCTAAAATTAATTAAAAATTTATTCAAGTCTTACAGTATTTATGAATACAAGGATACAAATATGAACTGAGATTTTTTAACATTTTGACTTGTTATTTTATTTGGGAAATAAGAGCTTACCATAGTATCAAATGTTGTCAGCCTCATTGATAGATCACAAAATGCTGGTTTGAGATTAAAATTAGATCCACTAATCACATACAATAATGAAGTTGCGGGTTTCACATCTCCTTCATTCGGTAAAATGACATAAGGCGGCCAAGCATTTTCCAGTAATACCTTTACAATTACATATATGTAAACTTCCAAACTAGAATGAAAATTATTCTGAGGAAGAAAAAAATTTGCAGAAAAGTTGTCAATAGAATCTACCTAAAACTAACAAACTACAAAGCTGACCATAAAATTATTTTATAAATTATGCTTACGCTAATGTTGTATTGTCCGTCCACTATTTCGGTTAAATTGTTACGTATTGTTGAATTTAGCGGTAAAGGTATAGTCAAGGTATAGAAATGCTGTGAAGAATCATCTGCATGCTTTTTACTCGGTCGCTCGAACTTAAGCCTTGAAATTAAAATGGTCTTCATAGTTTATTTGGTACACTGCATGATCGAAAAATCAGTGACTGCGATAACAAAACGAAACTAAATTGAGAAATCAAATTTAAGAAGTTCTAAAATTCATTTAAAACTGGAGAAAACCATGAAATAAGAAGATATCTGCAATGCGAAAAAAAGATTTGGTATTTGATCCAATTCAAGGAAAATGTTTTTCCAATAAAGAAGCTCTAACAAGCTAACTTGGCATAAGCATTAAGTTTCTTAGTTCCTTTCTCCAGTTCATACTTCATAGCAAGCAGTGCATCATTTGAAATAAGCCATGGATGGTCTGATTCAGGACGAAAGCGTATTTTCTGTAAGTAAAAGATGAAATGATATTTTATACAAAAACCCAAAATATATCATTTTTGCTTATAAAAGCATTAAGAAAGAAAACAGGAGAGAAAACGGTATGCAAGCATCACTTTAAAATTAGCAAAAATCTATGTGATTGAGTAGTAGCAGAAGACAAAATAAGTACAAATCCATCCACTCTTCCTAATTCACTATAATTCTCACTCACAATCAAAAAAAGTTCAGATTTTTTCTTACATTCAGCAATTTTTCATAAATTCATATCAACTGAAGAGATTACCGCATGCATCATCTTGTTGACAAAAAATAGACCAAAATTACGTTTGACCAATAAAATAAAATTTTGCATAACTTCGATATATGATTGTAAATCGTATATAGATAATATATCAATCGATATAAATCGTAGTACGATTTACAATCATATATCAGAGTTACGCAAAATTTTAAATTAAGTTGTTTTATGATTATGCAAATTTCTTCTATATGACTAGAGCATGAAAATAATTTCACTAAAAAATGAAATTTAGGAAGAAACAAAGTATTCATTCTCTATCACAACAAATATTTGACCAAAATTCATAAAAAAATTGCTTTCATAATCTTCGCATATGTAAAATTGTGAAACATATGTGAAATTACCTTCTATGTTTCTGTTTCTTTACTGAAAAGAAAAATTCGAATTTTGTTTTCAGTCTATTTCAACTATATTGCTTCAGAATCAAAATAAAAAACGGATAATTAAGCAAACTGAGCAGTCATTTTGCACAGCGAAACAACCAGAAACAAATTTCATCTTTCTCATATACGATCAAAATTGAAATATGCCATAATAATATGACAATATCTTTCTTTCAACATTAGAAAACTAAACGTCTAAACATTTTCAAATTCATTCAGAAACAAATACTTCGTAAATACGATCTTTATCAAGCAAAAAAATGAACAGGAGACATACCAGTATAAAAAACAACAGTACCAGAATGAAGGAATACAAGGATAACACCTTTCATTACTTTCGTAAAGCGATTACTTCATAAGAAGTCAAAATAACGATTATTTTATTAAAGAAGAGACAAAAGACAATGCGTACCATAATGCTGTCACGACTATACTCCTTGATGAATGCGACAGCATGACGAACTCTCATTATTGATTCCTCGTCAGAGGAATTGTAGTACTGAGAGAAAGCATTCTGTAGCTGAAGGTATTCACCATCGGTCAAAAATTCCAATTCAATACCTTGAGCCTCGATTTTGAACATTGACTAGAGTTAAAAACTTTTCAACTCTGCATAGATTATCAAATATTATTACAGATTTAAACATAATTTTTTTATCACTTTTAATGCTATAAAAAGCAAATTTTTCAAAAAATTTGTTTTTTTGCATTTCTAAATAAAACATCTTTACAATTAAATCCTCCATATTTACAATACTTAAGTTAAAATGGTACAGGATAGCCTTCAACTCCCAGAGTTAACATAACATTATTCGGCGGCATTATGATACCGATTCTATTAAGTAACGAAAATGAAAGCAGTGGTAGCCAAATAAAGAGAATAAGGCTCAAAATTACAGGTAGACCCATCAAATATTTAACTACACTGCCTTTGGCAACACCTCGTGGAGCGGGAAATCTCTGAAATGTTAGCGAAAGACATTTAAAGCAAAAAAAGAATGTTGTCTTAACCATTCAAAAAATGACTATGCAACTGGAAGCAACAACGGAGTGCTGCATGGTAAAAAATTTAATTTTTCTTTTAAAGAGCCATTTTTTAATATCTGTCCTCTAAGTTCCAGCTTGTAAACGATCTTATTTTCTTATATACCCATTAATTTCTGACTTTTATGCTTAATCTGAGTCACAAATGATACGCTAAATTCAATTTTGCAGATTAGAAAGGATAATTCAGTTATGCAGTCATTCATGATGAAGTTTGAAATGTAAACTATTTAATTATTCATCAAAAATAAATTTATTTGAAATGCAAAGAAGCGTAATCTCAACTATAATAATAACCTACCTTTTCATAAGTCCTAGCGCATTTTAAATTGTAAATAATTGCATAAAAGTTCTCCATATTGAAAAAATCAAATAAAGGCATTGATGTGTCTGTCCATGTCCAGTCTGTCGCTGTTCTTAATTCAAAGAGAAATGGAATAGCCATAAATCTGAATAAAAATAATGAATATGAATAAAAGTATTTTAGAAATTACATAAATATTATGATATCATTCTGTAATGATTTTCTTTAAAGACCCTGAAAGGAATGAGCATACTAATTTAAATATTTTCAAATAAATATGACAAAAACTAGAGATTAAGCATGTTTATTTCTGATTGAAACATCTAAACAATTTTTTCAGTTACTAAACATTACTGAATCAGGGGTGTCCCTATAGAAATACATAGGCTGGACTATAAATTTAATAGCAAAACATGACAAAGATTTACAGTTTGAAAAAGACCATATTTGAGAGACCATAGGCGTGCGTAATGAGATTTCCTGCACATAAAGTTGGGTATCCATTACGGATTTGCCAAGCAGAAATCAGAAGGTAAATACATTTAACACAATATAGAAACTGAGCGGTTTTATTTAACCAAGCAGGTCTGAAAAAATGTTACTAGAATAAAAATTCCAACTGGATATAAAAAGCAAATGATTAATAAAAATTCAATTAATTCTCAATAAAGAATTCTAAAAATGTCAAATCAAGAACTTCAGACAACTTACTTGTAAGTTATTTGCGGTAAAGCAAAGAATATCCAAATATGGAGAAAAATAACAGTTACTAATTGATACAGAAATTTGCATTTCACAGCCTTTCTAAGATACAAAGCTCTATCAACAATTATCATCAGCGATATTACCATAAGCATAAGCACAAAAGTTATAGGAACTCGATTAGACTGAAAAAAAACATTCACACATAAAAAATCAAATGCTTTTACTTCAGTTCATGATAATACTAGTTTTCAAAGCTGAATCAAATGATCGTGTAAAAAATTACGCTGATATCTCGAACAACGCTTCCTGTGCCTCCGTAGTCAAAAGATGAAAAACCGAAAGACACAACAAAAACGCATAGCACATCCATCAAGAACATGAAAGGATACAAATCTTTAATGTATCGAACTGGAGGATTGAAAAGCATATTGAAAAAGTGTTTGGTGCGCTTGATGAGTCCTGAATCTGAAATTTGAGAATTATTGTAATGGAAAAAATCTCGAGTGACAATTTTACTCCAATAGGTTTTACATCACAAGAAAACAAAATTTAAGACCTACTTTTTTCTGCCATTGGTGCAATACTCAAACGAACCTGTAAATTTTGAATGACAACAAAATGAAAAACAATAAGGAACTTTCATACCATTATTTTACAGAACTGATGAATCAATTCATTTTCTATATTCTGTAAAAAGAAAAAAGCAAACAAACATCAGCTTGAGATTTATCTGACAAACGTGCAGTAGTAGTAGGGATGTCCATATCCAGTGAAATATCAGATTTTATGGACATATCGCCCGCTTTTTTCCATAAACCTAATCTTCGAAGCATGTAACGATGAAAAAAAAGAGCTGAAAATTCAGTAATAAGTATGGCAATTATCCCCAGTGTTCAATTACTCTACATAACTATACACGAGAAAAAATTAAATGAAAAACTTACCAACAAGTAAAGCAATATCCCAAAATGCATAATAATCTGCTTTTCGAATGCCAAGTATTCCAGGCAAATAATCAGCAGAACTAGCAGCTTTAATAATGTTCGCGGTATTATTGAATGGAAAGAAACCAAACTGTGCAATGAATTTGATAACCACAGCTAATTCTGTATAAGTTATCATAGCAACCTAAAATAAATTTACTTTTTAGTTGAAGTCTTGATGAATTTGAATGAAAAATGTCTTTGACAAACGAAGAGACATATATGAATAAATATAAGTACCCAAAATGTCCAGGTAGGACGAGGATTAGCTAAAGAACCCCAGAAAAAAACAAGAAGTGGTAATGGTAGTGAAATGATGCCTGCGCAACGAGCATGGTCGATTATAGCTAGAAGGTAACAAATGACATCAGTATGAGCAGCAATGCAATATCCAACTGCTGTTACAAAGCGTGCAAATACATTTTGTTGCTTCCAGCAATCTTCCACCTCACTTTCTAATCTTTAAATGAGTTTACATGGAAATAATATAAAACATATTTGATTGAACTGAAATATAAGCATATGTTTCAATGAATATTTTCAAATATGTTTGTATTAGTAAAATACAATCAGATCAAGTAATTATATGCTATCAAAGGACTTTCATATTACCTAGTTGGTATAAATGTCACTTACAATGAATCACAACAAATATGATAATCATTATTCTTTCAAGGTCTTCTATTACTAGAAAATGCGAATTATAAAGGAATTAAAAACAATCTACTTTGCAAGTTTTCTAACAATGTTACAATCATATCGGCTTTTATACTTAACAAAGCATCTCAAGGAGAGTTCAGAACTAAAACAAGACCCAAATAACCTTTCGATATCGCTAGCACTTGAAACACAATGCAAGTTTTGTTGCTCAAACTCTTGTCGCACATCAAATATCGGGGTAGAAGCATCGACCAGCGGCTGAAAAAATTCATAATTTCTGAAATCAAACTGAAGGCAAGTTGAAAATTGTAGGACGGAAAAGTTTCAATCAAACAAACAGAAAAACATGCACTTCAAGCCAATAATATGACTTTCCTCAATTTGAAAAGGCTAAAATACTGCAATATAAAAAACTACAAATCCTTAAATGTTCAAAAATTGTTTACACATTGAAATTCAGATTGATTAATATCACAAATTTGCACTCTTATTCTTGTTTGGTAATTGTCAGTTATGAATAAAAGTAATAGAGTTCTACACTATAATACAAAATACTACTACATGTTCCTATCAACAATGTATTACAGAAACGACATCATTCAAGACTAGGGTGCTCACAACAAAATAAATCTTGCAAAGTAAATTTGGAGATTACTAAACTCGAAACTAAATTTTTCAATTATGGCAGGGAAAATAAACACTAAAATAAGCAAAAAAATAAAAATTAACTGCGTACACCAAAAAATAGTGAAATTCTAATGAATTCAATCTAACTTAAACAAAACCGCCACTAACATTTTAGCTAATTCTTACCTTACAGCATAATATCTCCGATGGCAGGCCAAAAAGTTCTTCGAATAACTCCTGATTGCAATAAGTTTAAAAGTTTTGGAAGTTTTATTAAGTTTTTCTTGAAAAAAGATCAAAAACATGCTTTGCACAATACAATAGCTTTCCATAATTTTATGAATACCTGCTTCAGTCTTTCTTTTAACTTTTGTCGCTCCTTTCCAAGAACATAAGCAACATATCGATGTTCACGACATCTTCGATTTAGGAATGCAGCAAACCAAGCAAGAGAAGATGTAAATATCTTATAAATGAAACGTGCACCTGCTAAAATTTGTTTGCCTGCAAATGATTTAATAAACATTTTCATAAAGTCCTGCACGAATTTAATTTAAACTAATCGTATGAGATAAAATTTGACCTACCATGAAACAAGCAAAAATCTTGCCAAATAACCAAAGAATAAATTTTAAAAGGAACAAAGAATTAACGCTTAAGTTCAGAATTAGTACTTTTGGTTCTCTTCACTATCTTCATCTAACTTAAAACGAAGAGAATGTACCAGATTCCGACTTTTTACAAGACTGCGACTGGAACGATGGGATCTTCTTTTCCAATAATTGAGTTTCATCTGAAACAGCTCTGATCATACGCTTTTCTTCATTTTCAATTTGTTCAGCACATTCAACAGCTTCCAATGTTTCAGCCAAATCAAGATCATGTTGCGCAGCTGTGTGTATCAACTGAAATCAAAGCATAACAAAATTAAATTAAAATCAAGAAACTTGGATTGCATAAACTTAGGATTATTTCTTACGTATTTATCCTAAACAAACTAATAAATTAACCTGAGCAGGGTCTAATTTGTTGAAATCAACAGCTCCTGAATCTACTTCTGGGATGAAAGTTTCCACTAACTCGTTTGGAGCATCTTCCGATGGATCGTATTCAACCATATAATAATCACCGGCTCTTTTTGCTAAAAAATTAAATTCGAAAATCTTGAATTACGTCGACATATTTTTGCGTCAAGCTTGAAATGACTTCTTATTAATGAAATATCTATATTGTAACATACAGTTCAATGAAAAAAAATCTGTTCTGTTAAAAACATGAAATGTAGTAATCAAATCTAAAAATTTGTAAAAAAAAATGAAACACCATAATAAAGACTCCTTGAAAATATTAAATGACGAACGATTAATCAGGAAAATGCAACAAAAAATCCATCACATTTTCAAAAATCAAAGCAATACCAATATGAAAAGAAACAAGATTGATATTAGAAATAAGATAGAACTGAAATTATCGTGCATATATTCAGCATGCAAATGTTAGACAAAACGAACTGCTAATACAGATCGGTGTAAGAAAATGTCAAGCAACAGGTTGCATGAAAGTATTTCTCCAAAACGAACCCAGTGTTAGCTGCTCAGCTTGCTTACGCGTATCGCTTAGTTTATACCAAAAGCTAGGATCATCCAAACCTGGCGATTCTTCAATTCCTGGACACACCAGACACAATAAAAACACATTACAAGGAACAAAGCAAAACCATAGAGCAGACGCAAATGCTTATGTCAAATAGTCAACAAACTACTTCAACCAAAAAATGGTCTAGCAATATGTATGTAATTACGTTTTTGACATTAATCACATCTATCACATTTTACTACAAAAATTTATAACTCCAGAATGTTGCAAAACGTACAAGCACCGATAACAAAAATAACAATGATCACACAACTATATGAAACTTCTCACACCATATTCAAATCAAATTCAAATGAATATTAATTTTCTTCTGAGTTATGATCTTGAACAAGTTATGAACCGTGAGAACTAGTTAGAACTATAATTTAATTTGAAACTATTTCAGGAAACCACCAGTCAGTTTCTAGAGAAATAAAAAAGTAATAAAAAGAGCAAGAAAGAATCTTTCATTGACCTAATTCCTAAACAAATAGCACTGGAATATTGTATATGAAAATGTTTTTAAGATCTCCTAAAGAGAAAAATATCAATAAATAAGATCTATATATCTCGGTTTTAACTGCCTTTTCAAACTATTTATAGAATGTGGTGAAAAAAAAAACCTTATTTCACACAAGCTGAGAGTCCAAGTACACAAAAGTTTGCTGAAGTGATATCAAATTTGGTACTTTTAATTTTAGATTTAACAAACAATTTTTGTACAATAATTTCGCATTTAAATAGTTGAATGCAAATAAAATTCACCACTTCTGAATTAACATGAACTTTGCCCAAGAGAGAAATTCTCGTAAATTATACATACCTTGACCATATGTCTGAGGCACAAAAGCATCTATTTTATTTGTCCTTTTCTCATAGTCCTTTCGAATTTGCTCTGTACGAATTTTGATATCTCTAAATTTCTTTTCTTGGTGCTTTTTCTGCTCTATCATTTCTTTCTCAATTAACTGATTTTGAAGTATTGCACCACTGAAATGCGTAAGTTTCTATAAGCAGTATACCCAATCCCAATTAATTTCTACAACAAAAAATGATTATTTAGAATGGTTTGAAATACTTTTTTTTCCAACTACAAACCGATTCATGAGGACTGCTTCTGAGCGGTATTCAACTACACAATGCTGGAAATACCACGAGTTTAGAGCCCGTATCTGTAGCACCAGAAAGCCAAATGCTAGTGCATCAAATCCAATTTGAGTTTCCGAAGTCTGCACCGTACATTCATTATCGAATTTCAGCTCTATAAAGAATAACATGTTCTTTTGCAAAAACTATCTCATAAAATTTTGAAAAACAAGATATTATTAATAGTAATAAATATTGTAATAATAATGATAATAAAAACTTACGTTCTTCAGGCAAATAAAAGTTGTTTGTTCGACCTGGAATCACGCTTACACAAACAATGCTAAAAAGCTGCCGAATATAACAGAGGTTAGCTTTCATCAGTATATCGATAAAGGCACAAGCAAAGATCTAAAATTTATTATGTTAGCTATGAAAGTCTTATTTTTTGATTTAATACTTGTATCAATGTAGAAATGCAGACAGTGAGGAAAATGATACGTTTATGTTTCATTGTACACAAGAAAATCAACAGGCACTTGCAACCAGAAGTTAAAAGTTAAACGACTGAAATGCTAGTTGAAGAAGGAGCTAAGATAGTGTCATCCTAAACAAATCTTATGCCATTACCTATATCAAGAAGGATTACCAACTCTGGATGTTGAAAAAAAAAACCAAAAAAAACTATTTAGAAATTTTTATCATATTCGATTATACTTACTTGGAGAATAATTTTGCAAAACATGACAAGTACTGTATAATAAAGGATTAGATTCCATCGGAAGAGAGCTTTGCGATAGTGACACATAACATATAAACTTGTTCCTTTCCAAAGCATCCAAAATGCCAAAATAATGTATCCAAGCGCAAATAAGGATACTCCACCTAAGCCAGCCACTAACACCATTACAATTGTTATCCAATGCCCATACATAAAGACAACTATTTTCAAGTAGTCCACAAAACTTCTGAAAAATATTTTGAGCAGTTTAAAGTGTAACTATTCATAGACTCGTGTCATTCGTATTTAAATAAGTCAGAACTGAATTTTTCGCATTTCAATACTAATTTACCGTTGATGAGTAAGAAAATCATAAGTTGGATTATCCATTTTAATGCCATTTTCTTTTTTGTCAACATATATAGATTTATTGTTACCAGCTGGTGAAGTCTCTTCATTTTGAAATGCACGAGCCTAAAGTATATTTTAACGCTGCAATGCAAATAAAGTTTTGAAAAATTTTTTAAATTCCTATACACGATGAATAGAATGTTATACCTGACAGGCAACCAGCAGTAGCAAAAGGAAATCAGCTACTGTTTTTTTAGCATCTAACTGAAAACGATAATCAGCCAAATCCAACCAAAATATCAAATTATCATTTTGCAGCGGATTTGAAAGCCAGTCACTCCATGGGTAATCTGCAAAATTTAAAATCGAAAAACATCTGAAGCTATCCTTTAAAGAAATTAAAACTGTCAAAAAAGATTGAAAGCTCAATGCTGAAAGTACAAAATATATACTTGTTTGTGCTTTCAACTACTTCCAACAAAATGTTTACTAGGAAAAATTAAAAATGAAATAAATACCTATGCAAAGTGATGGTGGCAAACCAACATATAACGCATACTGTAAAGGAAACATTACAGTTAAATATAAAAGGAACAGAGGCCACAAGCATCGACACATCCCACGAGAGCTGAATACAAAAACCATCAACCAGATAAAAAGAAGCGCAGCCAAAAAATCCATTCGTACCCATGCAACTAGCGCCATCATCGTCATTGACAACTAATTGAAAATATTATAATGTATACATAAATTAAAAATATATTCACTTCACTACAAACATCAAAAAAGGGAATAAATGAAATGATAAAAAATTTTTCTGAACTTGCATCTTTACAACATTATGCCAAAAAAATTTATATATATAAACTGCGGCTAAATTTTGAGGAAATTTTTTACAGTGAAGATTTCTCAATCAAGTTCACAAAATTAAAGTAAAATATCGAACATAATACCAATTCTGTTGAATGATAAAAACAAAATATTTAAACAACAATATCATTACAATAATATTAATTATGGCTTCAAAATTCAAAAATTGCACATTTTCAACTAATGAGATTCGTTAAAATATACCACTACCTACCTCTAGACCAAATTTTTGAAATCCATAGTTGAAAAAAAATTTTGTCATATCAATTAAACTAGCATCCCAATTTTTAGGATCTGCCTCTGGGAAAATAGATCCATGAAATGAAGAAGTCTTTCCAGACACTAATCTCTTATATCGTTGACGATATAAAACAATAGATTGTAATGCAAATGCCACCAAACCAAAAATTAGACCCTAAAAAACAATGATGTTTTCTTGAAATAGAAGAAAATAAACATTTTTATAACCAAAATTATCAGTTCAAGGCTTGTATATAAAATTCCACTTACGCCAATACAACTTCTAATATTTGAAACTTTTCGAAATCCAAGCCAATAAGCGGTAGCATCCAAAGAATAGTCAGATGAATTACAAATTATATCTTTAGAATATACTGGTAACGGCACTTCTACTACAAAATGCATCTGGAAAGTATTGCAATATAATTTTCCTGAACTAAACAAAATTTCGACAAAAAAATAACAAGGCATATAGAAAGTTAAAGAAATTTAAAGTTAATATTAAAATAAAAACCTGATAAACCATTCTGAGTATAGCAATACATGATAACAAAGTGCATAGTAATATGGATAAAGCTGAGAAGAGCGAAGGCATATAAATAGCAAAACTGATTAAAATCACCACAGCAAGATTGAGAGCACATACCTATCAAAAATAATTGTATATCAAAGATAAATGAATCATTTTGAGAAAGTTTTTTCTGTTAAGAATCGTAAATTCAAACAGTTTGATGTAATGATATTCAGAAAACTACAAGTATTTAAAAAGATAATGGAAAAACTTACATCGTTCACAACAATAATAACCAATATAAGCAAGACAAATTTGGCTACATGCACTTCGGCTATATTCCAGAATGACTCTTGCAAACACTTACGTACACGCTTCATTCCTGTGCAAAAACTCGATTGGTCTATAATGAAAATACAGCTTTAAAGGTGTATGTCCTTCCAAGGTATAATACAAGAGTAGTTCAAGATTAAAAATTACAGAGCAGAAAACAAGAATTTCTATTCGATTGAAAAATTTTCGGAATCTAACTAGAAATGAAAGATTATGCTGAATGTTCTAACAAGAACTTTTATTTAATCCTAATTGCTTTAGACATTAATTTCTTAAATATTTTTTTTTGCTTTTTCATTACAATCTTTTCATAAAAACTTAATTGCATAGTTATCTTGACCTATTAGATTATTCAAAATTTGAAATTCAAATCTTGAAAAATTGAAGAAATTTAACTTTTTATTCAAAGTTCTTGAAAGTAAATTTGATCTTTTTAAAGTAAGTAAAACACAATTTTTTTCTTGACAACAAAAAAGGTAATTATTACAAAAAATTAAGCAAAAAGAAAAAAAAACTATGATATATACGCAATGTACAATGCTAGACAGTGTCAAAGGAGTCGAGTTTAATGTCTATGCAATGAATAAATCAGAATATAAATTCATAAATCATAATGTTTACTAAAAAAAGTGCTACCAAGATATGAATTTGATAATGGTTATTTATGGGTTCTCATGATTTATAATCTTCAAACAACGCTATTTCCTATTATGCTACAGAAGAATCAGAAACAAATGTCCATAACTAGCATTTATATGAATTAGTTGGTGAATATCAAAGAACCTTTCAATTTTGAAATATTTATAAGTTATATTACAACAATAACTGATAAAAAGCATGTTAAGTTACCTGCTACATCATGATAAGCCTAAAATTAAGCAGCTTTATCATGGAATACTATGAAATTTTCAGGCATATCCATATTTTTCAAAAATATGTGTCTGCTGATAATGACACAAAATCATTAAGAATAATTATCACTTTAATATGTTAATGAATAATATGGGTTGTCAGATATTTTACTCGAATAAGAAAATCTGAATGTAAGAAAAGAATATTAGCTATAAGTTCATTCCGAAGAAAAGATGTTTTATCTGTTGCAAAAAAACATTGCGGAGAATTTCACAACAGAAATAGACAAGATGTTGTAAACTCTGCTAGACAAAAAAAAGTTATGCAAATATCATCTTAGCAATATGATCAGACTGAATTCAGGTAAATAAATATTAAAAATCTTAGGAATAAAGCAATTTAAATTAGCTAAACTTATGATAGAGAACTTAAACCACATATTCCGCACATTCACTCAATTTTTAGAATAATTTATCAAGGAAAGTAGAAAAAAGTATGGGATTGAATAATAACTAAAGTTATAGGGACCTTGATCTGATGAGAAAAAAAGATTAATTTACTTGCATTTGTTCATTTAAAAATTGTTAAATAATAATTGGAGTGAAAATGACAGTTTCAAAATTAGAGATTTTGGATTATTTACATTAAGACATTTGAAATAACAGTTTTATAAAATATATTCAATAAATTTAATTTACCATTGCATGGTCTCTCAACTGCATCAGTGGCATTAGAAGATGCAGTGACCAGTTGACACCAGAGGTCATGGAAAAATTTTAACTGCAACATGACCACAATAAAAAGTGATATAGGTATAATCAAGCGAATGAACAGAGCTCTGAAATTTGTCAACACTTACGCGATGAGACTGAAAAAAAAACTGATTTTTAATATTAAGTAGCACTGTCAAAGTGTGAAATATAATATGTCAATCTAGTATCGCACTGAAATAATTCCTGACAAATACAACACTTACCCAGAATTTCTTTCTTGGTTATAATTGATAAGACCTATATCTTGATTCCAGTTTTCATCAAGGCCAGTTGCTTCTCGCCAAATAGATGGAACTGCTGGGAATTGATAGCAGTACAAAATGACCAAAACAACTGATGTGTATATCGTCAAAAATGTGTAATAGCAATACAAGATACGGCGAAAGTAGTTGAGAGAAAACTACAAAAATTTTTTAAAAACTTTTGCGATAAAAAAGAGCGAGAAAATCATAAAGTTTGAATATTTTAAAAAATGGATTAAAAAATATATTAATAAGTTTGAAGTTTATTTCCAGTTTATTTTAACGAAGATACTCTATATTCACAGATTGTGAAACATATTACTTCTAATATTTCCTATTTATTTTCATTAACATGTAATCTGAATTTCAAAAAAATTATAAAACGATTCTCTAAGCACACAAAACAAAAACAAGCTCACCAGTAATAGATGAATTAGTACACCGAAGAGTACGAAAAAACCAACAGTGTATAAAACTGGTGGGGTCTGAATTGAAATAATGAGCAAAACAGAAGTAACAACGAAAATCCAATACTTCACTAAACAATCTCTTAGCCACGAGACGGCTACTGATCCATACTGAAAACAATATCTAATAGGAAAACTATTCTTTTAAATTAACAACTTACTATTGATTTAATCTTCCTTAATTAATATTACTTCAATGCAGAACACATCAAGAAATTTTTTGAAATTGCACATTGCAACCAGTAAACCTAATATATGTAATATAAACAACATGCTACCTATTCCTTATCGAAGGAAGCACCATGTGGTTTGTTTGTCCCTGATGACTATTGAGGTAACATAATAGTCATTAATGAAAAAAAGTAACTGCATTAATTTCCGTCAATAAAAAAATGATTACTGTAATTTTAGATTCAAATTCACAGCTTTCACTAATTGACATTTACAGATCCGAAACGAAACTGACTGACAATAACAGTCACGTCAACAAATCAAAAACTTACGAAAAAAAAGTTAATAAAATTGCAAGTCAGATTTGAAAAAAGAAGCTGCAATCGTTTCAGATCAACAAATAAAAAAATATACATGGAAACCTATATATTAACAAAAAAAATTATTTAAGCTCACTTGATAGGATGTTGTAAGGTTCGTTCCCAATATCAGATTAGGATTAACAGTTGAAGGATTACCATATAATTGATATTGACGATCACTACACGTTGAACCGTAATATTTTTCGTGAAGATGAAATCGAAGCAATGCAAACAACGGTAGGCTCAATAAACCCTGGTAAATAAACATTAACAAAATACATCACAAAAACAAGACATCTCGAAAATGTAAAGGAAGAAGAGTTAAGTGGTATCATAAAATATTCTCGAAATTTTCATCTTATAAAACATAAATGTAAATAATTTTGTGTTTTATAAGATGAAAATGAATTTTACGTGTTGGAATCAGTAGTGATAATAGTTGGCTGATGAGCAAACAGACTACATAAGCAAAATTCTTTTCCAAACCTAACTAAAATAAATAAACTAACTTAATATTTTAAGTGCTTGATGAAGTTTGCAGTCATAAAAAATTACAAAATTCAAAACAAAGATGGGCAGATAATTATTTATGTAAGAGTTCTAAATTTTTAAATTTCACAAAGACAGGAAAGGTACTACGTTATTTGATTAGTAGTTACAAATACGCTGATGCCAAAAATCTGATTGTAACATTGAAAGTGCAAATTGCAAAATGTTGTTGAAAACAAAAAGTTTCGAATCAGTTTAGAGTCAAGATGCTTTCATGAGACTTTTTTTTTTCAAAATTTTCAGCTCAAATATCTATAGACTATGCTTCCTTATTAATTATACTAGTTTTTAATAACATCATAAAACAGTTTTCATGTTTTGCTGAAATATCTAAAAAATAAAGACACAATGCAGTATATGTTATAGCTGCAAAACATATTAGCATTTAAACTACTCATTGAGTTCAGAAAAATTTCAATTACAACTTATAATTATATAATTTTAAAATAAATAATATATTGTTTTCACTATTTTTGCTATAAAATGATTATCAATACTTAATTTGAAAGAAAAAAAAAAGCGAAATGGAATTGTTTTTTCAAACAGTAAGTGCATACAATAATGCCAAACAGTTCTTCTATTCTGCCAAAAAATGAAATATATTCCAAATAAATGAAAAATCGAAAGTTACTCACAATAACACAAGTGAAGGTAACTGTTTTTTGCCGACCCAACAATCTATGTCAAATATTCATACCCTCCGACGTCCTCTCTCACTTTACATAACCGCTTCCTAAGACTTAACAATACACACACTTCGTTTCTGCATTTACCATACCAAAAAATGAATTGCTGTATTCAACGAATGATTCATTGAATGCTTTTCTTTCTACTCACTTTAATAACCGACAACTATTCACCAACAAACGTACCCACTGATTTAATTTTTTATATCATCAATAATGATGATGATTTTTGACAGAGTAACTACAAATTTGAACATACTGAAAACTCTGCAAATATACTCATTAAAATGAAAGAAATGAACCTTCACAAGAAGGGTAAGAAATGCCATTACTGGATCATCTGCAGAAGTGAAACCTAAAAGTTCCAGATAGAAATAGTGCGGTAATTCTTGTTTTATATCCATACTATATATATACTGAGCAATGTACAGAAACTGAAACGAAATTTTACAGTAGAATTAGTCAAGAGACAGAGTGCCATTTTTGAATTTGCGTGAAATCATATTACGATTTCTAGCATAGATAACCAAAATTTTAAGACTTTAAAGGGCTTTGCATTTTCGACAAATTATTCGAAGCTAATACATATTAGGAAAGTAATTAACGATCAGCAAAAAAAAAGGACAAGAAAAAATGAACATACTATAGCATATGCTAAAATTAATGGTGATGCTCGAAATGCCATTTGGCGGGTATTTTTAAAAACCAAAATAATACAAGCTTGCAGAAGAAATATGAGGCCAAACAAAGAGTGATATAGAAGAGCCCACAACTAAAACATACCGTAATTTTAGATACTAAGAATGAAGCATCTGAATCAAATCAAACACACAATGCACCATGTGAATATACTTCAGATCGCGTTTTGTCTTCATAAAGGATGTACTATACTAGTAATTAATTTTCCAAGAGACCTTCTGAATAATTCCCCTTTTGATAATACTTTAACGAAAAAACCAAAAAATGTATCCCAAAAAACGTTAAAATAAGTTACCATTATAGACAGCAATGAAAAAACATAAAACTGATGTGAAAGAATCGATATCATGGTAGAAAGTCCTTGAGATATTTCTGTTTTGTGATTTTCTGGCTCTAAAAAGTGTATTTGTTAAGTTTGGAAATCTAGCAACTTTCTTCTCGATTACAATTAGAGGAAAATATGACATGGAAAAAGAGAATGATAATAAAATGACATTGAAAGAAAAAATTACCAGCAAGAAATGTATTTATATTGTGATGGTTCCCACTAGCAGAAGTTTTTTGAGACAATGCCTGACTACCAAGATTTTGAGAATCACCTTCACTGGCCAACAGCTGAATTATTGAAAAACTAATAACCAATCGTTTAGCGTAAAAGACAAAAATTTTTAAATAAAAATTTAGCTAAAAGAACCGGAGAACAACTAAAACAATGAAAATTAACGACAAGACTTAAAAGAATTATTGCTAAAATAGTTCTCAATTTAAACAGATTTATTTTGTGCACAAGAAAGTTAAAGGTACTAATTCTTATTAAATTCATGACTAAAAAAATTTTTAAGAAGTTTAAAATTTAAAGCTAATACTATAGCGTTTAAATGTTTCTAAAATTTTCTGCACAAACACAATTTTTCCTTGGATATTTTTCAATTGCTTTCTTATATTATTATCTCTACTAAAATGCTCTAATAAGCCTACACAACTATATTTTACAAAAATTCAATAAAAAACCAAAAAGTAAATGTGCAAAGTGTCGTAAATTATGCATTTTACCCTATTAAAATTAAAATAATTCTATCACAAAATTGACAGTTATCAAAGAACATGAAGTAAAATAGATTAAAAATAAATATGCTTCTAAAATTAAAAACGAATAACAGAACAGAAAATGCAACAGTATGCAAAAAATAAACTTTAAAACTAAACACATATTATCTGAATGAATGCTCAAAAATTATACTTACCTCTTCATGTATACTACTTCCAGCACTTCCACAGGTCTTTTGCGAGTGACGAATACCATATCTCGTGAAATCATACTGCACAATCAAAAAATGATATAAACCCAAAACAATTAATATATTCACAAATACTGTCCAGTAATTAGATGAATCAAGATTTAATGACCACCACATATTACAGTCTATATAAAAAACTGGGACGAAGCCAATCACACTGTAATAAATGCTATGTGATGATAAAAAACTGAAATTTTATTAGAACATTTTTAAAAAGGTAGCGTTAAAAGAAAAAAAGTAAAGGAAACATTATTAGATGCCATGTAGTAATTTTATTGCCCTACATTAATAGAAGAAGTGAAACAGTAATAAAAACTTATGATCAAAAAAGGATGTATAAATCTACATACCGAGCAACAAAAGACTTTCGACCTATGATGATTTGAAAAAATGGTATTTGATAGATATAGAGCAACAGAAAATGTAGCATAGAGTAATACATTATGAGAAGTTTGACAGTATTATAAAAACGTCGTTGAAAAGGCTTATGTGATGCCCAAAATGTTGTAACGAAAAGAAATGCAATAAAATACACAGAGTTTAGCAAAGATGGCTGAAAATTACATATATTAATTTAATAGTGTAAGTTAATGTTAATTAACATTACTGTTTCCATTTCTAATATAATTTGCAAATGTTTGTGAGTCTTATCAAAGTTGAAAATTGAGGCTTTACAATAATACAATTTAACCTACCTGAATGATACCAGCAAAACCAATGATTAAGATTACTGCAACATCAGATAACTTTTTGAATGTCAGTATTACTGTTCCGACCGTGCGCAGTTTATTCGGTTTTACTTCACTAAAACAAAAAAGGATAAAAAATATCATTTTTCACCATATCTCAACCATTTTTACAATAAAAAATTTATTCACGGATAAATTTAAGCAGTGAAACAAAGCTATCACCTTGGAGTTTCTTGAAATAAAGGCCCAACAGAAGGAAGCTGTTCATCACTACTACGGCTGATAATAGTGCAACAGATAGCAGTAATAAAAGAAGCTGCAAGAGCTAAAAGCTCAGGAAGAATTACACGGATCGAGTCAAAGCCAGCACCATATTTAATCCTCAAAAGTATGGAAATGATAATTTGTGATGTACAAAAAAGCTACTTTATATTGTGACATATGTATAATATCCAGTAAATCTAGACATACGATTTCATACTAAATTTTGATTTGTAGCTATTATTACACTGACCTAATCAATCCAATTTGTCGTAACCAGAAGTTCAACACTGATTTATTGCATGTTTTCGTATAATCATCGATATCTGGTTGCGTGATTACTTCAAAAACCTGATAACTAAATTGAATCGCAGATGCTACAAGTGAGGTTAGCAATACAAGAAATAAGTACAAACGAAGAGTTCGCGAGACAGGCGTTGATGAGAAAGGTGTCAAAAGTGGACCAATTAGAGCGAATATTATATAAACAACAGAGATCAAGCACGGTCGAATGAATGAACCTGTAAGATATATAAGCAATGCTGAATATTCTTGGTAACAGAAGGTGATATAAAGTTGTTAGAAAAATTAATTAACATGCTTCGATTACAAAGTTGTCAAATAATTTCAAACAAAGCAAATATTTCACTTTTGTTTTCTTTCAAATACCATTCAGAATATAATTAAATAAAAAAATTTCAAAAACTAACCAAAAAGTAGTGCGATAGGAAGAATAAAACGGCATAAAATTTTTCCAAGTAAAATAAGGCTCATGTTAGAAAAAGTACGCATGATAAAGCGAATTTTACTCGTCGTCTTAAATCTACCACTGAATCACTACCATCACTCTCACTACCTGCAAGTAAATTTTCTGTACACAAACAAACAAATAGAAAACACGAAAAAATGTTCCACGAACTGAGAAATGTATCAATCATGGACTGCTCAAAAAATAACTCTTTTGACACAGGAGAGAAAAAATATAAGAGGAATATGGTGATACAAGTGAAATAACGCCAGAGTTATTGAGGAAAGTAATTAGTTTTATTATAGCTAACATAAAAAACCCAATTACTTGGTAATTTTACAAAAACAGTCAAATTTCAAGAGTTCAAAATTTTAAAATTTAATGAATGAAATTAAGAAAGAGAAGTGAACTACATTTAGTCAATCACAAGTTTGATATCAGTAAAGTTAAACTCGAAGGTTTGATAATAACAAACATTGCATCAGCAAATTGCCTTCGAAAATGGCAACTAAATAAACAAAGTAGATAGTAGTGATATGGATAAGCAAGAATAGAACAGCTGACACAGACTAATATACCAGTACACAGTAAAATGCTCTTAATTTCTATATATATATAAATATATCCAAATTTTGTTTTCAATTACAGTGCAGAATAGTGCTTGAAAATTTGCTCTAATAAATATATGTGAGCTATAAATGTCAAATAAAACTTTGAAGTGATGCGATGAAAATTAGAGAAATTCATCTATACAAGCAAGAATAACAAAACAAAATACATATGTTCGAAGCAACTGAACATTTCTAGTAAGAGATATATGCACCAAAAATCGAAATGAAACGAACGTGAGGATAATGCAAGAGAATGGAATGAAACAAGGGAAGGAAGCAATTTAGGGCACTCACTTCCTCTTTGCCAAGATGATAAAAATAACTTTTTTTGCACTCTCAGACAGCATAGATATTTTAGAAAGTCCAACTTATGTATACTGCTCAATATTCGCAGAGTAATTGTTACTTACTACTTTTATAAACTCAGAAAAAAAGTTTCACGCCATACATAATAATACCAATTCAAAGTGGCTGTTACACACTGATAAATTTGCAGTTTACCAGCTATTTGGCACTCACATACAAAACAGAAATTTTTATCCTATATGAGCAGTACTATCAGTCGAATTTAATACTAGCTTCTTGTGGTTTCTAAAAATAATTTAAACTTAATCCCTTTCCATCAGTCATCTATTTGGTATAAAAACAATTTTGCCTCAACAAAAACATGATGGACTTACTACAAGAAAATAACGAGAATATGAAATTTTGAAACCATACAATTATACTCTCACTTCAGATTGAAACGGTCTTCTTTTATCAGAAAAAAATAGAAACAGTGGCATCTTATATATATTGCTCAATATTCGCATTTAGAAGGCAGCATAATGAATACTTCAAAATAATACCTCAATTTCCAATCAAGCTATACAAATCCAAATTAGATCCGTGTTGAAATGCATTCATAACTTCAGATACAGAATGAAACAAAAAAATCTTTTTTTGGTTAATGATAAAAATGAAATCTTACAAACTGCTAAATGAGATTTTTTCAAATATCAACCCACTTGCAGGCACTAGAGCAGCAAAATAATTGGAAAATTTAGTAATGAAATCAGACCGAAAATATAATTGATTTGAAACTATGAAATATGTAACTTTTAATAATATTAGCGTAAAACAAATAACATCAACAATAATTTCCGTTATTTCAACAAGCTATCGAAACAATGAACAGAACAGATTTATGGCATAACATCTATTTAAAGATTATTGTTACAAGCTAAATGGATTTAAGGACAACTGCAATAAGCTAAATATGATTAATAACTAATTTATAAAATTCTGTTAGACCAACTTAATGGCACGACTGAAACATACATAAAAAACCTTTAATTGGAATATCTTTTTCTTTTCTTTAGCAAGCTATAACGCAATAAAATTATATATTCAAACTAAATTTAATAGCTCAAAATTCACACATTTAACAATTGATGAAAAAATCTCACATATATTTTTACTACTAGCCAGATTTGTGATCACTATATTACGTTTTACGAATAAACGCTTATGAATCACTTACCAAAGGGAACATAATCACATTGCTTCACGCCAATAACAATGATAAAGCTTGCACATTTCAGAGCAGGTTTCCATTTGATTGAGAGTTGACGAAATAAGAAAAGAGAAAAATTTAACGGAGGTGAATCATTTATTTTAAATCGTTTTAATTTTGAATTAGTTCAATAAACTTATATAGACTCAACAATTATTTTATGCTTATTGTAAGCCAGGAAATTTCCAAAATTATGTATATAATTTTATAACTTTTCATTTTGATTATAAATAGTAAGCATGTAACGATCAAGTCAAATTATTAAATCAAAACTAATTTGATTTGATTATATATATATATTACTACTGCTCTTTGATCTTCTTTTTCAAAGTTGTAGACATAAACGATGGATAATCCCGGTATTAATCAGTATGATAACTAAGATCGTGAAGACGACAATTGTTCCACAGATATCAATGACATTCGTCTATTTTTCATTTTCTAGGCACATTTGGCATTGTACTCACTTTGATGTAAATTTAAAATTTTCATACTGCAAAAAAAGCATTTCTGTGAGGAATGTTTTTCACAGTGCGAGCACCAAATACTGTTTTAATAACTGCTGAGTATTTATATAATTTTTAACTTCTGTTATTTAATTTTATAAAATCATTTTAAAACTCATTTAAATTTATTTCCATCCAAAAGTAACCTCTTTTCAAACACTATTTGACAGTGGATCCAGTGATTCTAAGAAAAGTTGACTGAGTAAATGCATCGGTCCTTTCTTGTATTCCAGTCGTTTATTTCTTTCCATCATTCCTTGAACGTTATTTTTTTAACCTTCATAACAGTTTGGTAGTAATGATTTTGCTGTTGAAGAGTACCTTTAAAATTCTGGAAAAGCAATCTGTAATTATTATTTCTGACTTTTATAATAAAGATGCAGTTGTTTTGCATCCAACCTTTTTGCATAACCAGAATTATTTCTGAACAAATTGCTTGCTTATGAATACCACAACTGTTTTCACAAAACTACCGTTTAAGAGTTTTCCACATGTCTAACTGCACCCAGTTTGCTTGTCTCTTCTTCATTATTACCATATTTATTCACTTTAAATCACTTTATAGTTTACAAATGTATATCTTGTCATTATTCCTTTAATTAATTTGAAAATAGACCAAAACATCTCAATTTGTATTTTACACATAAAGTACCGAGTTAAAAAATATTTAAACTCTTCAATTTCATTACAACTAATATCTGTGGTTCGAAAATTGGTCTTTGTCAGGGATACCGAAATAGTAAGCTTATGAATAAAACAAATATTACATGGGAACGATCGCGCATGAATAACACAATACTGTAAGAAAGATTTTATTTGCAATCTAGATCACAATAATGAGTAACATGAGCAAGTTATTTCAACTAAGAACTATCGTTTGTACCAAAAGCTAGTATTTGCCATCTGTACATTATTTATTCATATAAGCAAATATTCAAGCTTTCATCAAACTTCATAGAAGAATACTTCACATGAATATTCTCTCAATGGAACTAACTGATAATTTCATACATGAAAATATGATTTACAATAAAACACGTGCAAGTTATGAAAATATAATTTGAGGCAACAATTAAATTTATTGTTATGAAAGTATAATAATTCGAGTTTCAGATCGATAAACTGATGCATTAATTAAAAAAATACACAAATTATGAACAAAACAAACAAGCACTACTCCAGCACATATAAACAGTAAAATACAAAAGAAACAGAGCATATGGTTACATTTAATAAGTTTATATCGAATAAATTTTCACCATAACACCTGCTATTGCTATTAATGGATGTACTAATTATATCACACAGCATTTACTGAAAAACTCTACTGCCATAATTTAATCAATTTATGCAAAATATAAGAGGGAGAATACATGTTTAAATGATTGGCATTATTTAGAAATTATGAATACGTACGTGAGTTTAAGCTTGTGCATTCTTGCACATGTGCATTTGTGAATGTTTGTGCGTGCATGTGCAATAATCTATGTGTATATATGTGTGAGTGTGTGTGTGCATGGGTGTTTTTATAGCTCCCTCCTATTTTACTGCTAATCAATAATATCATATTATATACATGCTGATTCCACCCGCTTTAGTGACTTTTTAAATGGATGACAAAAAAGAAACGATTATCTGACAAGGATTGATCACAAAGAAATAAACTGCTAAGAATATATAACAGGATTTACGCTATATCATCTGCCATTCCACGACAAACAACATTATACACACTCTCTAAGTGAGTGAGTGATGAGTGAGTGATTAAATGAGTGAGTAAGTGAGTAAGTAAGTGAGTGAGTGAAGTGAAGTGAAGTGAGCAATATGAAAGCTCGTCAAAATAAACAATTCCCCCGTGACAATAAATTGTTATATGAATAATCATTTGCAATTGATTAGACAGTTTTTGGTTACTGCGTTACACTTCAGTCTAAATTATATTATTACATTACTGATTGGATGCGAATAAATAGTTTGAAAATTTTTGCTATCAATTCTTCTTATCCTCAATGTATTAACAAAAGAAATGTTTTTTTACTTGCATTGCATACATTTATTAAAAAATTCAATAATTGCAAAGCTATATAATTTATGTTCTTAATTATTGATACTGCTAGTAGGACAATTTGTTTGAGTACTGATTACTGATTACTAATTTGATGCGAATACAACTTTTATTCTTAACTTCTTTTCAACGATAATGAGATTAGTGTGAAGCGTAATATTTAATATATATATATATTAAGTTTTTAAAATTTATTGCTTAAACATTGCTGCTAGCAATACTGATTAAATCATATCTAATTCAACAGCTTGAGTAGCAAAAGAGCTTTTGAGTAAAATTAAATATAATGTGAACATTACATTAATACTTGGCTCTGCTTTGGTAGTTTTGATATTTCACATTGCATTTAAAAGGGATCATTCATTTTCCACTTATATTTTTGATTTGCTGTTTACTCATGAATAATGCATTCTTGTGTAGAATTTTTGTCATTTTATTGTGAATCAATCAGTAATTCATTCGTTAGTCTGTTTCTTGTGCTTCTGAGCCATTTTTATTTCTGAACTTTTTTAGTTTTCAGTGCTCAGCTTTACAACTGTAACAACATATTATCAGTACTACTTCATTTCAAATAAAGAACTAACGGTATCACTAACTTATAAAAAAGGATGACACACTAATAATTTCGAAGGAATATTTTCAAAACTCTAATACCCAAGATTAATTTACAGTGTTTTTCTGCAAGCATAATTTGAATTTATTTCCCATTGAATAAATCGTAATCCTTAATGAATTGAGTTTTTTCAAAACTTATTTTTGACTCTAAAGCAATGTTTTTTTTTTCAACTTTTCATAATGACTGGCGGATTTTAGACGATCAAGGATAAAAGTTTTTAAAATTCCTTTAGCGGTCAGCTTACCGCTTAAAGGAAAAAGCATCATCTTGTACTGTTTTTAAATTAGAGCAGTCCATTTCGGCCATGGTTCTTTATCATTTTGTATAAAAAGCTTCAGTTTATCTCTTAATCAATGTAATAAAAAAATTTTGACGCATCAGAAAATAAGTAACAAATTTTATGTTAAACGGAGTGAGTTTTTATATTTTCCGTCATCACGTTACAGCATAAAAATACGTTTACTTTATGGACGACGAATAACTAGTTTTTCTATTTGAATGTTTTAAAAATATAATTAAGTAAATAAATACACGTGATAAGCATCACTGTTGCATTGAGCTCATTTTAGCAAATGCTTAGGAAACTTTTGTTGTCTAAAGACTTTTAATTCATGGTTTATTGTCGTTTCAGTTCTTACATGTTTTTAAAATCTTTTTTCTCTTCTATACACAAAATTTTTCAACATACAAATAGGTTTTTAATAAATAGATACTTTAATGGAAATACTTAACTTGTGTGGCACATGTTCTCAAATTTTAATTTTGAGAAAAAATTATAGAAAGAAATATTCTTGCATTGATTCTTTTCAAATTCAATCTTTCTTATTTAACTTCAAATTTCTTCTATTTATACAGGGTTTTCTTCTGTCTTATCAAAGTTCATTTCTATGCAAGCATTCTCAAATTTATAGTGATTTTTAGTGAGTGGGAATTAACTTGTTTAAGACTCTTCTTTTCAATCAATCATTAGTTGTAAGTCTTATAATCACGTCAGGTTTTAAAAGTAACGCTTTAATTTATATTTTCAATCTATCACTTTCCGTGGCATCATTTCTGTGTTTTCCTTAATGTTTTAAAATCTTGCCACATTTGAGATATATGGCTAATGCAGCACTCACAACATGCTCATTTTATTTTATTGTGGCTGTTATGGAAGGCTTAACGAAATAGCATGTTTCTCATATTACACTAAAGGCAAGTTCCCTACTAATTAATGTTTGATTTCTAAGGTCCATCCAAGAAATCTTTTGAATTTTACTGTTGATAGCACATTTCTTGAATGGACTTTAGAAATTTGAATACTTTTTTTTCACTATTATTTAGCTGTGCTCAGTTTAAGGCAGTAATCATAAGTATTACTCAATATTCATTTCAGATTTTCTAATATTATTTAGGATGTTTCAAGTATTATTATTATTCTTTATTTTTCTCTATATTTTCATTCTAATTCCTGCATCTCTTGGGATTTCATATGGCATACGTGAACGATATGCTCAAATACTGCTTACAATTTTTGAGGTACATTTCCTTACATTTTAATTGTTATCGTTTAAATTTGCTGTGAAACTATTCATGAAATACTTGTTTTTCTATAAAGTGGAGTACAACAAATGGTGCGTCATTCTGTACTGATGCAGAAACTGACAAAATTACCAAGGAACACAATGCTAAAATTCAAAGTTAGTTTATCATTATGTCAGCAAGAATTGCAAGCATTATTTACCGTTCATTTATATATTTATTATAAATTAAAGCATATTATTCTAACATGCATATACATACTTATGCATCGGCTAGTTTGTTTATGATAACAGTTTGCTTTTTTAGTACATAATATCAAGTTGTTTAGATATAATACATAATAAAAAGAAGAAAAGTATTCAATTAAAATTGAACGATAACGAGTGGGCAGCAACTGATCATAATGTCATTGAAACAATTGTCAATGATGGCTTGGATTTCATTTCTGTAACTTTAATTTCTATGAGATTAAAAAAAGTACATTAAAGTTAAACTGTAATCTTTGTTATTGATTTTAAAAAGTTACTTTTATCTGCCATTTTAGTTGAAAAAATATTCTTATTTGTAAGTTTATTTTTATAAATAGTCATTTCATGTGATATGATTTTAATATTTATAGGCAGGCATTAATTCGATAATTGATGATGTAGTAACGATCCGTTTCAAAGCTGAGCAGTTAGCCTCTTGGAATTTGCTAACGCGGACGGGTTGCACTTTTGAGCATATCTCGTATGTTCACAGAGGCAACTTTTTTAAACTCACTTTTAGTGTTGATTACTTTTAGGTCATTGTAGTGAAATTTATTATAAAAAGAAGAAGGCTGAAACTGTGTAAAATAATTCATCTTTCTCACTTTAAAATCATATAACTGTTGTTGCTTTATTATGGGCAAATATTTTTAATAGATAAATTGACACTCATAGTTGTGATTTCACTTTTTCTTATCAATTACACACTTGATATTCGCTTGATATTTGCATATTTATACATTATTTATTACATTACCTCATACGAAATAAGATTATTCGTCGCTTTCATTCTTCTTCACGAATCGTTCTTTGAAAAATATGGCGAAAATTTCTCTTCTTGAAGTTAGAGCTATCTATGATCATTGCAGGTGGAAGCTAACAATTCTTTGGGTTATTGGTTGTTTTTTCCGATATTTAATATTATTTCCCATTAGGGCTTGCATATTCGTTATTGGTGCTACACATTTGGTTGTAATTGCAAATGTGGCTGGATTCATTCGAAATAAAAAGTAAGCTATTTCGTAAATTGAAAATTTTTCAGAAAATTATGAAAATTACAAAGATTAAAAATTTAAAATCACAAGATCAAGGGTTAAGTAATTAATTATATTTTGTGCTTAAATTATATATGAACTCCAAATTTTATCAAATCGATTTCTAAGAAAATATTTGAACTTCAGTAAAATTGAATATATATATATATATATATATATATATATATAT